GCCGATTCGCCCGCGAGGGCGGCTGGGAAGGGGCAGTCGGCGGGTCGCGCGCGGCCTGGATCGTCTCTTCTCGGTGTCTCCAGTCTCCACTTTTCTCCTCCGCCTTCGTCGCCGCCTCCGCCTCCGCCCCCCTCGCGAGCACCCCCCCTCTTCCACCTCCTGTGGCGCCGCTGGGGCGGTGGAGGCGCGGAGCGCCGCTGGGCGGCTTCGCGGCGGCGCCGCCGGCCAGGCGGGAGTGCCGCCGCGGTTTCGCGAGGCGCATCGGGGGTTACCTGCAATACTACGGGATGATGAAGAACCAGGAGGGCATGCTGCGGGACGACGCGCGCGTGGAGGGTTACCGCGCTGCGCTGGAGGCCGTTAGGGTCGACCAGTTGCGAAGCGTTCCGTCTTTGGTCCAACCAAAGAATGATCAAATCTTTGTTTTTGGTTTGCACGACATGTTCTCAGAACGCGTCTGCCTGATACCGTCTTGCTTTAAGGCGTCGCTTCGATGCACTTAAAAACGTTGTTATGGTTATGCCAACTTTCTGTTGTTCTAGGGCTTCTCGTGGTACGCCTGGAGGATTGCGTGGGCGGTCGGTCCCTGCCCTAGGGGGGGAGGTCTGCACCGATACCGCTACCATTGCCTCGGGGCCTCATGGGCCGCCTTCGTCGCCACGGCAGGAGTCGTTCCCGAATCTTGCTCCGAACGCACCCTGGGGGAGGTCTGGGAAGCACCGGTATCGGTACCGTTTGGCCCCTCCAGAGGCTGCTGCCCCGCAGCTGCGGGGCGCGACTGTGATGGACATCAAGGGGCAACGCTAGGGGGGAATAGGCTCATGGGGGCCGTGTCGACCCCCAATCATTCACTCATGGTCGGTAGGGGCCCGATAGCCCGCCCCGCCCAGGAACGTGCGAATTCGCCATCGGGAGTTTATCGCCGATCCATCGCCGATGCATCGCCGATGCCAGGTCGACGCTTCCCCCCCCCATCAGCCACGCGTTCCCCCCCATCAGTGCCCCTCAATCGGCACTGGCTCCGGGCTGCTGGCTTTCCTCGCGGCGAAGTACGGCGCCCGCCGCGTGTACGCCGTGGAGGCCTCCCCGCAGATGGCGCGCGTGGCCTCAAGGCTCGCGCGCGCAAACGGATTCGTCGGTGTGGTGCAGGTACTCCCGAAGCAGGTGGAGGACATTACCGAGGATCGAAGGGCAAAAAGCGGTACCAACAAAATCAAGCTCGGAGTTCCGCGCGAACTTCTTGGACTGGCGCTGGGCCACCCTGGCGGCGCCTCGGGCGCCGCCTCTGGCGCGTTCCGCGCTGAAGGGTTCCAGCCAGCGCAGATCCCAGAAATCCGCGCGGACCTCCGAAAGTTGATGTCTATGCAGTTTTTCTCCTTCCCCTCGAGGAGGAAGTCGCCACGGGCAGCGTGGACGTGATCGTCTCGGAGCTGTTCTCCCACTTCTCGGGCGTTGCCAACGGTGCTTCCGGCCCATGGGGTCTCCAGCTTCTCGCCCCGATCAGGGCCCCCATGTGGCCTTTTTTGTCTTCGTGAGGGGTTGCGTTGGAGGGCGGGGGTGTCTCCTCCGGATTCCTGGGGGCACCTTGGGGCCATGGGCACCCTCTGGCGACACCCGAACTTCCTGGTCGGGGAGCTGGGGCTCCAGGCGGTGACGGAGGCCAAGCGGCGTTTCTTGCGGCCTGGCGGGCTCGTGCTGCCGGCCATGTCGAGGCTGTTCCTCTCCCCTTTCGAGGACCGGGCGCTCGGGGCCGAGCTGCGGGCGAGGCATCGGCGCCACCCACTTGAGCGACGTAGAACAGCAGGGTCGTCTGCACTGACATTCGCGCGTAAGCTGCCCGCGTGAGGTCGTGCGTAAGCGCCCTCGCTTGCAATTTAGCGTCTCGCGCCAGCGGCCCGCGTAAGGGCGTTATGTCGTCTTGCGTAAGACACGTTTCTTTTCGCCGCTCCCATGCTTATACTGTGTATGTGCGCCGCCCCCAGTGGGGCGACGCGCGCGCAGCAATCTTGCAGAATGTGCTGGATGGCGGGCGCTTTCTGGCCATGCCGCTGGGGTGCCGATCTATACAGTTTCTGCGCTACTTAACAGCCTCGAACGTATCCCTATCCCTAAGATTGACACGCCAAAAGGCGATGACAATCTTAGGGATTCGCACTCAAACAAATAAGGGAATCCCTGAGATTGGCATCGTGATGAGGAGGTGCCCAGCACAGGGATAGGGATATGTTCCAGGCTGGTAAACTACGTGCTCTGGACGGACGCACGCCGCCGCCTGGTAGGACACAGCACGGTTGGCGTCGCAACGATGGCGTGCGGCGTGACGCCGCTGGCCCTCCTATGGCACGCTGTCCTCCACCTCGGGGGGTAGTGTGCAATGTTGGGGCCTTCGAAGGGGGATGGCGTGCGCAGGTGGAGCCCTCGCGGGGGATCGCCTCACAGGGATCGCATGCGCGCCATCCTTTGAACGCCAGCCGTACAAGTTCGGTAGGTTTGCGTCGTGTCGGCCAGCGGCGACCGCGCCGCCTGTGTTCAGCGTTGAGTTGAACGCCGCCGGCGACCCAGAATCGTTGGATATTGAAAGATCTGACGTTTCGGAACCGGCCGATCGTGCCAGGATGGGCGATCCCCGCGGTGTCAGAAAGCAACGCCGAAGTCGGCCCGGCACGAGCCCGCCGTATGTCTGGGCCCCAGGCACAGCTTCTGGCAGGAGCGCGACTTCCGCGGGCTGGGCCTCGACCTCAGTGCGGCCTGGCCCCTTGCGGAGGAGCAGGCCCTGAAGCAGAACGTGATGGACGCCAGAGGGGGAAGCGGCTGCCCCTTGCCTCGTTCCCGACCCCCACAGTTGTCGTTTACCCCGCAGGCTTGTGTGCTTGCTGGACAGCCCTCTTGGAGGGCTTCCTCTATTGGGGTGCTCGCTTCAATAATTTTGGAAGGTGGTTTTGCAGCCTTGCATGCTTGGGCCTCCTGGGAGGCCCTCGTCGCCGCGGCAGGGGTCGCCTCGGAATCCTGGTCAGGACGCACCCGGGAAGAGGTCCAGGCAGCAGCGGTGTGGGTACCTCGCTGGGTCTCCCCAGGACGTGGTGCCGCCCGAGGCGCTCCTGGTGCCGCCGGGGGAGAGCCCCTGGGCGGAGCTCGACCTGGCGGGCCCCAGCTCGGAGGAGGGCCCGTCGAGGCAAGGGCGGCCCGCCCCGGCGTGCCTCTGCGCCTCTCTGGGGCGGCCTCCGGGAGGCTCCTCGTGGGACTGTGCGCGGCCGTCCCCTCGCCGGAGGCACGCGCTGCCTATAATCTTACGTCGGGCGTGTCCCTCTGCAGGGGGGACATTCAAAAATAGTCAAAATAACATTTTCTTTGGTCGATTTGTCTAGCATGTTTTGACTATCTATTGGCAAATTGTGGACCGTTTTATCCGTAAGGGCTTCGCCCCCTGCCGCCGGCCCCCTCTCTCGGAGAATGGGCCATGGAAGAGCTAAGTCATGAGGCCTTGGCGCTGTCGTGAAGCAGTATCGAAACTTCATGCGAAGCCGATTCGCAATCAGCAAAACCAACTGATCACAAGAGGGGTTACCACACCTGGCGATTGGTAAGACGTGTATGGTTTACGGGCTTGGTTACCACACCTTGCGATTAAAGGGCCGAGGGAGTTCTCGCAGTTTGGGTTACCACGCCTTGCGATGGATGTGCGTGAAGGGTGGCACCGAATTTCAGAAATGTGGCAAATCCCCTATGTTTTTGGACCCTGACCCCGCGGATCTGCGTGAGGGGTGGCACCGAATTTCAGAAATGTGGCAAATCCCCTGTGTTTTTGGACCCTGACCCCGCGGATCTGCGTGAGGGGTGTCGATTTCGAGCCCCCCCAGCAATTCAGACAACGCGCCCAGGAGACGCTAAAAATCTGGTTTGGGCCTCCCCCCCCCCTCGCGCGGTCAATCAACTAGTTACAGTAACCAGCAAGAAGCAGAACTGTAACACTGGAAACTACAAGCTACAACTGGTACAGGAAACTGCGAACCCGCGCCTACAGCCTGGTGGCCCCACAAGGGGGCCAGCGGATTTTTTTCGTCCCAAATCCGACTCTGTCCATGGACAACGCGTTGGACGCAACGCGTCGGACCAGAGGTTCCCCGTCGCCACGGCTGGATCCGCCTCGAAGGACAAGCCAGGATGGACCCCGCGAGGCGTCCCTGGGGCCGATGCCGGGCGGATGCGGGCCGGGCCGGCCCTCCTCCGACCAGCGACCCCGACCACTGGCGCAAGATCGGCTTCGACGTCGCGTTCCCGCGCCGCAGCAAGGACGCGGTCGTGGACGGCCTCTGCGGCTGGTGGGATGTGACCTTTGCGGGCGTCGCCGGCCCGGGCGGCGCGGCGCCAGTGCTGTCGACCGCGCCGGGCGCTCCGCCCACGGTGTGGGTGCAGTGCCGGTTCATGCTGGAGCAGCCGCTGCGGGCGAAGGCTGGCGAGCGGCTCACGGCCAGGCTCGAGGAGCAGAACACGTTTGTGGAGGTCCGTGCGGAGTTCTGGGATCGGCGCTGGACCCCCCTCCCTGGCGCCTCAGAGGAGGAACAAGGTACCGATGCCGCTGCGATTGCCTCGTTTTCGCTAATTTGGCCCTCGTCGCCACCACTGGATTCGCCGCGAAATTCTAGTCACATCGCACCCCGTGAGGGGTCCAGGGAGTAGCGGTATCGGTCTTCTCGGCTTCCCAGCGCCAGGTGTGGCGTCGGAGGCGCCGCCAGGGGGCCCAGCGCCGATTCAAAGACTCCGCGCGGACTGCCGAAAGCTTATGTCCATGCCATTCCAGACTCCTCGACAGGTGCGACTTGGTGGTGAACCAGTCCGCGGAGTCGTACGTCGCCCGCCTGGAGCTGCGCAACGAGAGCACCGGCGCAGTGTCCCCTGCCGGGCCCATCGAGCTGAGCAACGTGTACGCGAGGCACTTTGCGGCCGCGGGCGTGAGATAACGGGGGGCAGCGCGCGTCGCGCCGGCGGCGCGGCGGGCAAAAGGTGCGGGCCGCTCGGCCGTCCCCTGGGGCCGCGGAGCCAGACATGCTCGCGTCGGGAGTGAAGTAACGATGGGCGATTTGGGCCCATGTTCGGCCTCGGGGGGCCCTTGCTGGGCCTCGGGGCCGTCAAACAACTGCCCGGGATGCAAGACCAGACCCGGAGGAAGGGTCGGGATTTCGGGCACCACGTGTTGAAACAAAAAAACAAGGCGTCGCATGTTTGGGGATGCGCGGGGGATGCTTCTCTGCCCGTGCCTCCGACGTCGCGCTCTTTGATCCACGACGTGGGCCCTTGGAGCGCCCAGCCCCCGTCCCCAGGGCCGCCCCTCTTCGCCACAGGTCGCAGTCTGGCAGAAGTAATAGCCTGGGAGCTCGAAGGGTGGCCCGGTGAAGTCGAGGTCTCAAAGTGGGTCAGAGCAGCACTGAGTGCGGTTGGTTCATAGGGAGGATCCGCCCCGAGGCACGCGACGTGATGACAGCCATTTGGGGCCATCACGGTGGAAAGGTGGGCTGGGCTGTTTTTTTGCTGGCGGGGCTTGCGGGGCTCGCCGCAGGGCTCCTAGATCGGGTCGGACAGCAACAATCGTTGACGACGATAGTCGTCGACAAAGACGACGCCGACGACAGGAGGGACCCGTCATTTGTTCTGAAGTGTTTTTCGGGGGGCGCGGGTGTTTTCGGGGGCCAGGGCCAGGCCGGGGCGTTTTCTATCAGCTGCGCTTCGTCGAGCGCGTTCAGGGGGATGTCTGAATCGACCTGAACGGCCTCTTGAGGCCCGAGTTATGGACCGACAGTGACGAAAGAACAACACACATACACATCCATACCAATGGATGACGGGGGGGGCTATGGCTGCGTGTTGTCGGATGGGGGGTTCTGATCGAACGGCAGCCTCCCCCAGAGTCGGACAACCCAGACCCGGACCCATAGCAGGTCCTTTTACCTCCGGCCCCCCTTCTGGCCCGTCGTGTAGGAAGTCTGCTTTTGAAGCCACGTAGTGTGCTTCTGCAGCAGTGGAGACACTGGGTTCGACAGATCTGTGCTCTGCCGACCCCCGCATGGGTATGTCTAGGCCTCCTAGACTGGGTCGGAGTAGGAGGAGGAGGAGGAGGAGGAGGAGGAGGAGGAGGAAGACGAGGAGGAGGAGGAGGACGAGGAGGAGGAGGAGGACGAGGAGGAGGAGGATGATGAGGAGGAGGAGGACCAGGAGGAGGAGGAGGAGGAGGAGGAGGAGGAGGAGGAGGAGGAGGAGGAGGATCGCGCCGCATCGCCGATGCATCGGCGATGCATCGTCGATACGACTCATGTGAGGCCCAATTTTCTCCACGCCGAAGTCGCCGATGCATCGCCGATGCATCGGCGATGCATCGCCGATGTATCGGCGATGCGGCGAGACCCTCCGGCCCCATCTGCGTGGACTCCATCTAGGAGGTCTCTATCTATGCTCTGCTAACCCCCGCATGGGTATGTGTGCGTGTTGCAGGCTGCCCAGGCCTCCCCGCGTTGAGAGGAGATCGATACGGAAGTCTGGGGGGTGGGCGATGCTCGGGGCCAGGCCCCGAGGCCGACGACGACGACAGCGGCGCAGACGCCGACGCCGATGCCCCCGCCGACACCGACGCAAACGTCGACAGAAGTTGACGACGACGGAAAACGACAGGGTGAGTAGCCGGTCCTGCCAGGGAGCATATTGTGAGTTTTTACAGTGCGTAAAGGAGGGGTCTGATTTGGGGAGGGGTCTGGTTTGAGCTGTCTCGGAGGGTCCCAGGGAGGGTCTGAGCAAACGGCCGCCCTTTTCGCGGCTGGTCTCTGCGGGGGGGTCTGGAACTGTTCGTCTGGGAGGGTTACCCGCCCCCCTGTTGATTACGAACTGTGGAGTATCTATTTTTCCAGAGGTCCACGCTGTGGAAGAATCACGACGTCGATGGTTTGGGTCTCGCGAGGGAAGGTCCGTGGGGGCAATCTCGGCCAGCGTCAAGAAGCAAAAACACCCATGCACACGCAAGAAACACAGCAAAGGCATGAACCTGCCAACGTTCGCGCGGATTTCTGACGCCAGGGGAGGTGGGTCCAGCGCCGATCCGAGAAATCCGAGCGGACCTCCGAAAATTGATGTCGATGTTGTTATAGTTGGTTATTCTAAGGAATATCAGTCCTTGGGGGGCAACATAGGCTTGCATGTAGGAAAGCGCCCTCTTCCATTTCCTCATCCGTCTCCTATTACGAACCGGCTACTGCACCTCTCCTAAGGTGCATGTTGACCAGAGGTTCGAGGTGCATGTTGACCAGGGCGCATGTTGACCAGGCTGCGTGTGGGCACACATCGTCTGCGAGCAGCGGCACCGAATCCGCCCAGCGAGCGGTATAGGCCGGCGTCTTGCGCATCTTGTTTTGCTTATCATGTCCCCCTCTTTGCCCCGACATCCGGTGTCTTGAGTTTCTCAATACGGGTTCTCTGCAGGTCCGGACCGTTTCCCCAGGGCCAGCCCTTCCTCCTGAGCCGTGCTTCGCCACAGGCGGCGGCAGACAATCCGCGTGGAGCCTCTCGAAGCTGCGGAGGTCTGCCCGACCCCCCTGCCCGCCCGGCTCGGCCTCTCGTATCGGGCCGAACGAAAGGGGGGATAGGGAAAGGGGGCGTTGCGAAATTTGCTGCATGCAGCCAGTTCCGGCCCCGCCGCCGGGACCGTTCCTCGACATGAGCGCCTCCCGGAGGCGGGAGGCGCCGGCAAGATCAGCTGCGTGAGCTGATTCTCAACCCCCCCCTTTGCTATCCCCCCTTTCGCCCGGCCCGATCGTACAGTCGACCCGGATTAGTAGGTCGACCCTGCCAAATCAAGGGTACCTTTGTGTCCTGTGTCTCGCGACCCGTGCCTCCTGCATTCCCATGGCAATGTGGCCCTCGGAAGGGTCTTCTGTCCTCTCGCGTGTCCTGTCCAATGAAGTCCGACTGTAGCGAGCGCGGTGTCTCGCCCGCCGCCTCGGCCCAGGCGTCCGCGCTTGCCGGGCGCCCTTAGGCCCCCCCCCCGCCCGGCGCAGCCCCTGCGCCGTGAACTCGGGGCAGGCCGTGCCCGCGCGCCAGGTGCCCGGCCGCGGCGGCCCGAAGGCCCCTTTCTGGGGGCCCAAGGCCCTCCTCCTCCTCCTCCTCCTGGTCCTCCTCCTCCTCCTCCTCCTCCTCCTCCTCCTCCTCCTCCTCCTCGTCCTCCTCGTCCTCCTCCTCCTCCTCCTCCTCCTCGTCCTCCTCGTCCTCGTCCTCCTCCTCCTCCTCCTCCTAGTTAGGCAGAGGGGGGACAGCTCTCCGAAAGATTTCCTGGAGCCTCGACCCTCCCCCTTTGAAGCGGGAGGGTCAGGGAGAAAGATCGAGGATAGAGCAGGAAGGGCCTTCCTGCTCTATCCGGTCTTCCTCCTCCTCGATTCGCTTCCCCGCTCCCTCCTCGATGCTCCTTCCCCGCTTGCCAGAAGGTTTCCTTTCATGGGATTTCTAAGGGACCAGCCTTGCTTGCGTTGCGAGAAGTGCCCATGGACCCTTCATGCATCGGGTCTCGTTTTGTGAGGCCAACTGCGACCATGATGATTACGTCAAGAGCGGCTGTCTCGTCCCTCAGGCGTTGGCGGTCGCTGGGGCCGTTTTTGGTCTTGGATTTAAGGGCGTGGCCCTGGCTGAGCTGACCCACCCGTCCTTTTCGGATCAGGGAACTGTGCCAGCTGCCGTGCAGGAGCGTTCGGTCACGGATTGCTGCATCGCTGGTGCAGTCGCAGTTATCTTCTGCGACGGCTCCGGGGTGGGGGGCGATGTTCCTCACACCCTCGTCGCCGTCGTAGTGGTGCAGGAGCTGTCGCCATTTAGTAACCAGGTGATGCTCCCGAAGTGTTGGCAGGAGTTTCTGGTGGCCTTGTCGGCCGCAGCCAGACGGCCCCCAGGGCCAAACTTATTGCTTTCGCTCTGGCACTTGTGGATCCTGTGGTCCCCATCCGTTTTGTGACGGGCCACAGGCTTCTGTTGGTTGGGTGGGGGCGGGGTACGGTGCGATGGGCGGAACGGGGATTTCTGGCTGCGTACCAGGAGCGTTGGGCCAAGGGTCAAAACCTATTGTTAAAAGCTAGTTTGAGCTAGAAAAAGCCAGAACAAGCTATCTGGATGGCCAAAAAAACTATATCGGAATTCCTTTTTGGCTCGCCAGGGCGCCCCCCGTGCCCGCCGGCGGGTCGCTGCATGGGGTTGGCCAGGGGCCCCCCCGGCCGGGCCCGCCGGCGGCTGGCCGGAGGGAACCTCCGGCGGCCGCGGGGTCACTTGGGGCCGGCGCGGCCAGTTTGGACATGTAAAGCATGCCGGCGCGGCCCCAGCCCGATTTGCGAAACGCGCCGGCGAGGCCGGGCCCAATAATAAACAATGGCGCGCCGGCGCGGCCAGGCCGACGATGAAACGCTTCCGCGCGGCTGGGCCCGAATGCGCGACGCGCGCCGGCGCGGCCGGGCCCGGCGCGAGCGATGGGCGCGAGGGGACGGGGGGGGGGTAAAAAGAAGAAGAAGAAGAAGAAGAAGAAGAAGAAGAAGACGAAGAGGAGGAGGAGGGGAGGAGGAAGGGGAGGAGGAGGAGGAGGAGGAGGGCGGGGAAAAGGGAGGAGGAGGAGAAGGGAAGGGGCGAGCATCGAGCAGGAGGGGAGGGGGGGGGCGGGGGGGCGGCGGAGGAAGACAACGACGGCGGAGGGGAGCGGGCGGGAGAGACGGGCGAGGGGTTCGCGGCAGGAGAAGGCGCCGCCGCGGCGCGGCGAGATGGGCGCGCGATGGGCAGAGGGGAGGGAGGTCGGGCGACAGAGGAGGATGAGGAGGAGGAGGGGGGGCCGAGACGAGGCAGGGGAAGACTGGTGAAGGGGCTGAGGAGGGAAAGGTGGAAGAGGCATTGGGGTATGTCGCGTGCAAAAGCGCGCCGCGACCATCGCCGTGGCGTCGCGCGCAGAAACCGCGCGGCATTCCTTGTTGATTTACTGGCGCACGGGGCCGCG